TTTTCTTTAGTTTTAATTTGCCTAACTATCGATCTGACCCAGTAGACGCCATAATCCCACTCTGTCTCTCACCCGTCCCGCGTTCCGGTTTTTTATTTATTAATTTTTTTTGGTGGGTGTTTACGCAGTTGGCTAGAGCAGTGCTGATTGGGGAGAACGGAGGTGCGCTCACTCTTGACTGCAGCTCAAGGCTGGCATTCATGCATATGCTCTGGAACAGAGTAATATCGCGTCCACATCGCAGGCTTTGCGATTAGGAAATCGCAACGTCTCAAATCGCGATTTCGATTCGATTTCGATTAATCGCACAGCCCTAATTCTAAACCTCAGTGAGATGACCCAGCGGGCACCTTGATGTTGAAAAGACATCAAATTTACATTAAACATTGGCATCAAAAAACAAGTCAAAAATGCAAATCAAACTGACGTCAAAAATTTGGCATCCACACACTGATGTTCTTTCGACCACCAAAATAATGATACAAAAGCAATGTGATGAGAGAAAATGTTATTCAACAAACTTGATAAAGAACCCTCAGAACCCGAAATTTCCCCCAAGGATTTTTTTTGGGGGGGGGATAGGGCTCTTTTAAACATTGAAAGGTCTGTGTGCTACATGTGTGTTCCTGTTTTCTCATTAAAAGTCTATTCCTAGTAACTGCTCCCACGTCTCTGCGTCTCCTCGCTCCAACACAGTAGGCAGCACCGTGACAGGTTTGTTGTTTGGAAACACAGTCAAACTTTTAGTGAGTATAATCGACTCAACACAAAAATTAATGTAACTGGATATCACAAGAACCTGATCATTCAAGTCCAAACTATCACTTAAATACAAGTCCCAGTTCGTGAGCTCAAAGCAACTTTGCGCTCCGTCCATAGAGGCCGGGCCGAGGCCAAGGCCACGGAGGCCGCTCCGCCATGGCTCCCTGAGTTCCCTGCTCCGCCATGGCTCCCCAGTCTGCCTGTTCCGCCATGGCCCCCTGAGCTGTCTTCTCCGCCATGGCTCCCTAGTCTGCCTGCTTCACCATGGCTCCCCAGTCTGCCTGTTCCGCCATGGCCCCCTGAGCTGTCTTCTCCGCCATGGCCCCCTGAGTTCCCTGTTCCACCATGGCTCCCTAGTCTGCCTGCTCCGCCATGGCCCCCTGGTCTGCTTGCTCCACCAGGGCCCCCTGAGTTCCCTGTTCCGCCATGACTCCCTAGCCATGGGTCCCGGAACGGGTACCGCCCTGGAGGCCGTCCGTCCTGTGTAAGCCTGTCCCTAGAAGCCTCCAGTGCGCCCCCGTTTTGCTTACCTCAAGCAAAAACTCACTTAAATTTGATTTGTTTTTTTCTGAAAACAAGACAATGATGTTTACTTGTCTAGAAAATCCTTCTTGATTTAAGAATTTTTAGATATTTTGGCTGGAAACCAGACAAAACATCTAAGCTAGAAAAGCATTTTTTGCAGTGCATATATATTTTGTTATGTCCTATAATAATAATAATAATAATAATAATAATAACAATTATTATTATTATTATTGGATTGTTAATAGATATTGTTTGAAGTCAATATTATAATGATTAGAGTTCAGTTTAGTGAATCTGGTGAACCCTGAATTGTGTGAGTATGCACAATTTGTGGACTTATCATCTCTTAGGGAAACTTTTAGCTTCAGTATTTTGGGGAAGGTATGCCAATATTGATCACAGTGTCTCTGTCTTCTCTTTGCTAAATCTTTCATCTGAAGCGTAGATGTACTGACATTTGCACCTAGACAGCACTTTTTACAAGGCTAATAAGATCTAGACTTGAATATTGATTGCAGAAATAACCTGGCTATGAGAGGTCCCTCTTGCAAGGATTCTAACATATATCTTGCTATTATTTTTTGGCATCGGTAGCTCCTGTTCTTTACTTAGTGCAAGAGAATAAGAAGAGCACAGTAAATCAGAGTCTCTTCTAGCTGAGAGAGAGGTTTGTTCCAGCTGTGTCCCCTTGAAATGACAGAGCAGGGACCATGACATATCAAACTGCTACTGCAGGTGAATCACATCATTAGATGGAACAGATTTATGGCTCCATGAACATTGTTATTACCTCGGTTTGTTGTTTGGAAACACAGTCAAACTTTTAGTGAGTATAATCGACTCAACACAAAAATTAATGTAACTGGATATCACAAGAACCTGATCATTCAAGTCCAAACTATCACTTAAATACAAGTCCCAGTTCGTGAGCTCAAAGCAACTTTGCAGTTCGCCGATGCTGGTGTCAGTCCAGTTCTTAAAGGTCTTTTTCTGTCTTTCTACACGCCTTACAACTGGCGTGTATGCCGAAGCCAAAAGAATTGTGTTACGATCAGCTGACCCCAGCGAAGGCAGGGGAACGGACTTATAAGCACCTTGAATCGGACCATAACACCTGTCCAGAATCTTGTCCGCACGAGTTGCACATGAGACATACTGATGGTATCCTTTTAAAACACTGTCCAAATAACACTCATTAAAATGACCTAAAATAAATTTAGGAAAGTCTGGAGATTTGGCGTCCAGTTTGTTCAAAGTTTTCATCAGCACATCTGAGGCTATGTCCAATTTTGCGCGAGGATGAATATACACAACAAGAAAGTAAAGTTGGGGAAACTCACGTGGTTGATAAAAAGGGTGAGCGGAGAGAACAAGCAATTTAATTTCGGAAGAGCATATTTTGTCCCGCACAATCACATTGTTGCATCAGCTCTCCTTAATGTACACACAAACTCCACCACCATGCTTTTTTCCTGTAGTCTCTTTATCTCTATCCAGCCGTACAGGTCCAGAGTATCCACTGAGCCGTAGGCAGTCGTCAGTGACCGAGTTATCCAACCACGTTCCTGTTAGCACCACCATGTGCGAGTTTCTGTACTCGTGAAGGAAGCCCACATTCCCTGCAACTCATCCATCTTGTGTCGAAGGGAGTGCATGTTACTCAGTATAATATTGGGCAGCGGGGTATGTCTGTGATATGCTTTCAACCTGCACTTAACTTCTCCACACTTACCCTTTTTCCTTTTAGTCCTCCTCACCGAAGTCTGGGCTCCGCCATTGCTCCGCTGTACAATCCCGCGGGTAGTTCTCTGCAATTCCACAGGGATGTCACACACTGGGTCCGCAGAACCGGCAGCTGAGCTCAGGATGTATTCCCTGTAGAGCATTGCGGTGTTAGCTTGCCTCAGCAGAAAAGTGCACGCCACTCCGACCAAAAAAGTGATCAGCAGGAACAAAAGTCGTTGTGAGCTAAACATCTTCGCGCGTTCACGCACACTAAACCATAACAAATTTAAAAATAAAGCATGTTGTGGTTAAGTCTGAAAATAAACACTTAAACAAACAAAACAAACAAAACAACGGACCATTAAACGCACAACCCTACCGGCTGCCACATGAACAGCGCCGGAAATAAGATGTATTGAAACACAAGGAAACAATAAGGAAACACAGGAAGGACTATGGCGCAAAACGGGTACAAAAGTCTGACACTCAGACCCTGATGTGACGCTAAGCACTTTTCGACATCAAATATAGTTTTTACAAATATCAGCGTTGGCGTGGATTTAATTTCCTGAAAATAGAGACACACAGAGATCTATTTCTCACACAAAGCTATCATATGGCTTCAGGATATCACACAAGTTGTACACGCTACTACATTTGTGTACCTTTGTTGACATTTGACAGCATCTGTCTGCATTCACTTCTATTGTATAGAAAAGAGCAGCAGGGCCATTCTGTTGAGCGTCTCTTTTTCAGCCCATATCAGAGAAACATTCAATCCGGTCAGTTACAGAATGTTTGATAAAGGCGGTTAGCAATGGATTAGTAGTGTACTGCCTACTGCACAGAATATACTGCATGCTTCGCAATAGTGTTTTTATTAATAGTATGCAGAAAAGAAGCAGTATTTGCTACACATTTCAAACAGTAGTAATTTCTGGCAGTTTGATCAAACATTGACTCTAGCAGCAGAGAAACATTGCATTTGATGAATGATGTTATACTGGGCCATTTGTCATGAGAATGTACTGTTGCATATCACGTGATTTTACTGTAATAAGACTGATAAAGACTAGTTAATGCTGTATTATCACCTGCTGTTGCATTTTTGTAAACATAACTCTAAACATGCAAGATAAATGTTTGCCTTTATGAATGAGGGAAAGCTGTCACACGCACACACATACACACACACACACACACACACAGACAGATATGTGTCTGCTGAAACTCAACCTCACTGTCAATCATCACATCTTATGCTTGACATACAGGACCTTTAGATTCACTCCTGCAGTTTTTACTGGATAACAAATCTTCACCCTAAACACAGATCTGTGTTAAACTGAGACAGGTTCATCAGAGATTTGCCTGCCGTCTCAAAGCACGAGGCTGGCACCACTGTATCTGATGATAGACACGGTTTTGTGTTGTGTTGCTTTACATGTGGTTTGTATCAAACCAAAGCCTTTGCTTGTAGGTGAAACAACTTTATCAGGCTTTATCACGTTTCAGGTTTTGCGTCAAGGCTTCCAGAAGCTTCATACACTTAAAATGATAGTTCATTCCAGCATTTTTACTCTCAATAATTCCAATCAAAGCATGTTGGAAACTAAAATTTTAATGATGTGAGTAGCAAAAATAATTTTCCATTATTGCTGAACATGCCTGCATTTAATCTAGTTAGTTGCACATTTTGGAGAATTACATTAACAGAAAGCAAAAAAAAAAAGAAAGAAAGAGAAACACAGCTTTACTGTGTAGATCATTAATAATATGAAGGTAATGCAGGCCTTGACCTGGAAGAACCAAAGATATAAAGGTCCTTATAAAGAACGTCCTGTCGGGATATGAGAATCCTGACCTTCTGAATCAAACATTTCCTTACAGCTATACAGATGAGGTTCAGTCACCTAACAGATGTCCAGATACATGAACCGACTGTGTGTGTCTGTGTGATGCAGACAGTACTGAACCAACTGGGAAACAGAAGGTATAAACTGAGCAGCATGTCTTTCAGGCTCTTAGCAGAGCAGAGAGTCCATTATAGCAGCAGACTGTAGATGCTCTTGATGCTTCTGATGCGCTAATTCATTTGTATTGACATCCCAGTAACCCACAACAAACATTCCTGTTTATAATTGCCATAGATATTCCCCTGATGTACTCATGAGAGATAAGTCTTCATGCAACATGAATGCTTATCTCCATTAGTGGAATCAAATTAAGTTGTGAAGGCTGAAGAAATTAGGGCTGGAATTCTTTATATCTTTAGAATGATCTCTTTTTTTTACCTCTAGTCCTCTGCTGTCCTGTGGAGTTTAGCTCCAGTCCTGATCAAACACACTCATTACCATGGTAAATTAATTTTGTTTTCTGTAAAAAAAAACCCGATGGAATTAATCACACCAGTAGGAAAAATAATCACAATCCGGAGTCCAACTGAACACCCCATCCCAGCGTGCACCTAGCAACAACCTGAAAACCGCTTGGAACACCCCACCCCACAAAGCGAGGAATTAGCAACACCATGGAAACCGCCCAGAACACCCCACCCCAGCGAGCACTTGGCAACACCTTGGAAACCGCCTGGAATACCCCGGTGAGCTCCTAGCAACACCCTGGAAACCACCCGGAACACCCCAGAGAGCGCCTAGCAACACCCTGGAAACCACCCGGAACACCCCAGAGAGCGCTTTGCAACAACCTGGAAACTGCTTGAACACCCCAGCGAGCACTTGGCAACACCTTGGAAACCGCCTGGAATACCCCGGTGAGCTCCTAGCAACACCCTGGAAACCACCCGGAACACCCCAGAGAGCGCCTAGCAACACCCTGGAAACCACCCGGAACACCCCAGAGAGCGCTTTGCAACAACCTGGAAACTGCTTGAACACCCCAGCGAGCACTTGGCAACACCTTGGAAACCGCCTGGAATACCCCGGTGAGCTCCTAGCAACACCCTGGAAACCACCCGGAACACCCCAGAGAGCGCCTAGCAACACCCTGGAAACCACCCGGAACACCCCAGAGAGCGCTTTGCAACAACCTGGAAACTGCTTGAACACCCCAGCGAGCACCTAGCAAGACCCTGGAAACCGCCCGAAACATACACCCCAGCGAGCACTTGGCAACACCCTGGAAACTGCCCAGAAACATCCCGGCGAGCACCTAGAAACACCCTGGAAACCGCCCGGAACTCTCTCTCACACACACACACACACACATTTTCTAGAAGTACTGTGTGGAATAACATGTTGAGCCACATGTGCACCCATCCTAACAACACAGAGTGTGTTCAGAATTAATTTATCTTTTTAATAATTTTTCTGTGTACTGTGCATTGATTAATGTGTGTGTGTGTGTGTGTGTACATCCTGAATGAAATGATTTGTGTGCTCCAGTGAATCTCAGATGCACCGCTGTAAGCAAACACACACTTCATTTTATTTAAGCTAATGAGGCTTTATTTATTTAATTTTTTTTTCTTTTCTCAGATTTTTTCAGCATTAAATTAAAATGTACCCCATTTTTTAATATACATTCCCTGTGTTCTTGTGCTTAATAAAATCTTGCTTTTAGGAACTTTCTTCCAAATGTTCTATCTTTAAGATGACTTTGTGTTTGTGTTTGTCTTTGAAGATTTTCTGAAATATTACCAATTAGGGGTGTAATGGAACACGTATTCGTACCGGAAATTTTTGGTACGGGTCTTTCGGTTTGGTACACACGTGTACTGAACAAATCATTAAATTTTTTCAGGAAATTCAGACAATAGATGCCGTTTTGGCACTCTTTGATGTGGCGCGACAACAGATCGCTGTGTAAGCGCTTCAGTTCTGACGGCAGCGTGATCATCCCTTCCTCTTTACTACTAGTTTTAATGTGAAATAAACATGAATGAACATCTCATGTATCACTCAATCAGTGTTTCAACTGCGGAAATACGTCATTAAAACAGCTTGTAAACAAAATGTCACGTAGCATTTCATTTACCTCAGGCAAGTCATAAATGTCCACAGCTTGTCAGTTTACTAGAGAAATTAAGTATAGAGAAGAGAATTTCATGAAATATTAGACTATATACTCATTATATTTTACTTTACCTGTTAGTGATGCCTTAATTATTTAATGTAGGCTATATTTAAATAAATCTTCTATGAAGCAAGTTATGACAGGCACTATGTAAATGACTATATTTCAACAACAAATTGTATAATTTAGAAGTTAATTTAAAAACTGCATTGAGTGCAATATACATGTTTGCATATAATTTTTTTATTTGAGTGCTGATTATAGTTACAAATTAATGATAATTAAATTTAAATTTGGGCTCTGTTGTTAATTGTAACCTTATAGTAGGCCTAATGTAAAAGGGCTCCCTAGTTAAGAGAAGAGGTAGAATTTTATATTTATAGATTTTATTTTATTTTATGAGGTAGATTTAAAGAAAATTTTAATTTTAATTCTAATTTAATTTGTTTAATTAAAAAAAGAAAAATTGTGTTTAGTGTTTTCCTCCTGCTGTACCAAAACCATATCGAACCCTGACCTCAAAACCGAGGTACGTACCGAACCGTCATGTTTGTGCACCGTTACACCCCTATTACCAATAGTTAGAGCGATCATTTCATGCTGACTAATGTAATAAAGGTTATGGCAATAACAACAAACATCTGGGATAAGTGCAGATCTCTGGAGGGTGAACTGACCTTCAGCCTCGATGTGCTTCAGGAGGAGAGTGAATCCCTCACAATCCACTGCAAATGGACTTTGTTCTGGTATCAAACAGACACTTTACAGCAGGGGTGCCCAATCCTGCTCCTGGCGATCGACTGTCCTGCAAAGTTCAGCTCCAACTCTAATCAAAAACACCTGCCTTTAATTTTCAAGTGATCCTGAAGACCTTAATTAGTTGCTTCAGGTGTGTTTGATTAGGGTTGGAGCTGAACTTTGCAGGACAGTCGATCAAACACACCTGCCTTTAATTTTCAAGTGATCCTGAAGACCTTAATTAGTTGCTTCAGGTGTGTTTGATTAGGGTTGGAGCTGAACTTTGCAGGACAGTCGATCGCCAGGAGCAGGATTGGGCACCCTTGCTTTACAGCATCACTTCATTCCTCTGGAGAAATTTGAGGCTTTCTTTTCTCTTCACATCGTTTGACTGAATGACACATCAGAAGTGGAGCGGGTTGTGTGTGAACGCTGGGTGATGTTGACTCTGGATCTCATGCACCACACTGGGACCTCAATTAAATGAAAAGAGAACTGTTATTAATTTATATATTTATGTGAAGTTCTCCTCAGGGAGAAGTGCTTCATGTTTCACTGGATCACTGGATGTGTTTGGAGGAAACGGTCTGTGTGTCTTCAGTCAGATGCGATTGATTGACACACAAGTGTCCAGAGCCCTAAACCTGGCCTTGATGGTGTGGACCGGAGCTCAGTTGCAGAAGTGTTGGACTGGTTGAGAGGAAGCAGTATTGTTTTCCTTTTGAACTAGGCTGGTCAGTGTGAGGCACTGCATCATGGGAGATTTCTGGGTTATTTTTAGAGTTAGCCTGGGAATTCAGGCGGAGGTCACCTCGAAAAATTCAGCCTTTGCAAGCGGCCATGAAATATATTCTCCTGTGATGTGGTGAATTCCAGACGTTTCATTTTCTGCAGCTGATGCATTTATCAATGTGCTGTTCAAACCCGGCTCTTGTGCGGCCTTTGAATCTGAATTCATTTTACTGGACTGCTTCTTTTAAACATTCTCAAAACTGTTGCTCTCGCGGAGTTCGCAGCTGGACTGGAGTTTGTCTACTTGAAAAGATGCTGTGCTGCACTGAATTTTAAATAAATGAGTTTTCAGACAAACAGTTGCCAATTTTTTTGCAACATACGTTCAGAATAGTGCTCATAAAATCTTTTATTTCTCCTCAAACATGCAGTTCATCAGCATCATCGGAGCAGACACCTGAGCACATTTATACAAAGTGAGCTTGCATTTAAATGCAGGTTGCAGTAAGAAACAATTTGTCATGGATGTGCTGCTTTATGAAGACGTGTCCCATGACATTCAGAGAAAGACAAGGATTTCTTCTGTAAATGTGTAGACTCGGATGAAGATGGTACGTTGGTTGATGGCTCATGTAGGCGACCAGTACTGTGGTTTGTCATGAAGACGCGCTCATATTTCCTACCACGGCTCTCACAGGAGAACACTTCCCCCGTCACACGTGTCCGATTACTGTTTTTATCTCATTCACTCTCGTCTTCCCACCTCTCCATGATCAGAGACCTTCACACCTCTATCTGACATCACTTCCTGCAGTAACTCCTCGTCACACATCAGCTCTCCTCCCTCAGCTAATTGTAGTGAAGATCCTCTAAAAATACATCTGCAGTATTTGACCTTTCTTTGTAGTCAAATGAGTTTAATGCTTTCACCGTAAATGACATCCTCCTTGTTTTTGTCAGAAATATACAGTGGCCGAGAGAGCTCAACGCGCGCTGCAACTTAAGAAAACACATGCAAATAGAAAAAAGCACCAGCAAATTAAGAAAGCATCTTCATCAGTTTGACATCACATGTGCTGTAAATTCTCACAACACAACGAAATACAGAAACAGATGACAATGGGGGACCCCAACAATGCTTACGAAAATTAACCAAGGTTTTATTATAGTAAAGTGTAGTAACCGTGTTTTTTTTTTTGCCGTATTGATTACCATTTGTATAACCATAGTGTTATAAATGCTATGGTTAAACAGTTTAGTGAGGTTAATTTACCATGGCTTAACTATAGTAACCATTTTTTTATTTGTATTTATTATATTTAAGAGATTTATTTACAGCGGGTAAAATAAGTAATATAAGTAACACGTCACCATTTTTCAACACCACAATACCAAAATATTGAACACGCTTACTGAAATTTATTTAATACTTCGTACAAAAGCCTTTGTTGGTAAACACAGCTTCAGGACGCCTCCTGTATGGAGAAACTAGTGACATGCATTGCTCAGGTGTGATTTTGGCCCATTCTTCCACACAAACAAAGATTTTTTCAAATCTTGGAAGGTTCTGTGGGCCTCTTCTATGATCTCTGATCTGTAGTTGTTTCAATAGATTTTCTATTGGATTCAAGTCAGGTGATTGGCTGGCCATTCTAGCAGCTTTTGTTGTGACTCGCGCTGTAGCCAAGCTCAACATCGATTGGCCAGCCAAGAAACAGGACGCTTGTCCCAAAAGCAAACTGGACGAGCGGTTCCTTAAAGGACCTTCCATTTTTCCCAGATCTCCATGCCGAGGTGTCGAGATCGTGGGAGAAACCGTACTCAACCCGACTCTTCAGCCTAACAGTCACCAACTACTCGAACATCGTAGGGCTGAATGAGAAAGGTTATGGGGCGATGCCGGCAGTGGAGCAGATGCTCGCGAGCTATCTCTCCCTGTCCTCAGCATCGTCCCTGAAGGCCCAGAAGCTTCCCACCAGGCCAGTAAAACAGACATCCAGCCTGGTTGGGAAAGCTTATACGGCGGCAGGTCAGGCCAGTGCGTGTCTGGACACTATGGCGGTGTTGCAGGCATACCAGGCCGACCTGCTAAAAGACCTGGATGATAGGGAGGAAGAGGAATCCAACATAGTCGCTGAACTACGTCGGGCCACAGACCTGTCGCTTCGGGCCACCATGGAAATGGCCAGAGCCATCAGCCGTTCCATGGCAGCTCTCGTGGCTACGGAGCGACACCTGTGGTTGAATCTGTCCGAATTACAAGACAAGGACAGATTCTTCCTGCTGGATGCCCCGCTATAGCCTTCTTGCCTCTTCGGCAGCGCAGTAGACACTGTCGTCAAGAAGTTTCAGGAGGCGAAGAAGCAGGTGGCGGCATTCCAGCGCTTCCTCCCTCACCTTTCCCAGGTCTTTTCAGCTCCTCATATCACCAGAAACAGAGCCGACCATCCGCTTCAGGGCACCGAAGTGGCTCCTCTAGTGACACCAGAGGCCAGTCTTGAGAGACTGGTTCCCTTAGTAGACTTACTGACAGCATGGAAACTTCTGCCAAATGTCTCACAATGGGGTCCTGCACACTGTAGAGAGAGGTTACAGAATCCAGTTCGGTTCTCGTCCACCTCGCTTCAACGGGGTTATTCCTACATTAGTGGGCCCCGAGCAGGCTCTGGTATTGAAACAAGAGGTAGAAACTCTCTTGAGGAAGGAGGCCATAGAACGTGCTCCTCGAGAGAGAATCAGGGTGCTACAGCCGTTACTTCATCATTTCGAAGAAGGATAGGGGGTTGCGTCCGATCATAGATCTGCGTCTACTGAACCGCGCTATCAAACGATTTCGGTTCAAGATGCTTACTATCAAACAGACCGTGTCTCAAATCAGATCCGAGGACTGGTTTGTCACGATAGATCTCAAGGACGCATAATTCCATGTATCCATCCTTCCTCAACACAGAAAGTTCCTGAGGTTTGCTTTCGGGGGCGAAGCATACCAGTAGCAGGTTCTTCCATTCGGCCTGTCACTCTCACCCCGCCCTTTCACGAAGTGTGTGAATGCTGCCCTGGCTCCGTTGCGACTCCAGGGCATCCGCATACTGAATTACATTGATGATTGTTTGATATTAGCTCAGTCAGAGCAGATGGCGGCTCGGCATCGAGATGTCGTCCTCGCCCATATGGAAGAGCTGGGGTTACGGCTAAACGTCAAGAAAAGTGTGCTTTCTCCGCTACAGAGAACCACTTATCTGGGCGTGGTGTGGGATTCGACAGCGATGCAGGCACAGTTGTCTCCTGCTCGTATCGAAGCAATTCTCACAACCGTGAGGGGAGTGAGAGAAGGCCAGTCACTCACTGTCAAACAGCCTTGCAGTGGCGGCTCAGAACCAAGGGGTTTTCCCCAAGGGGGAACCCGCTTCGCACAATCAAGGCCACGCGGCGATGCTTACGTGCCTTAGACATGTGGAAGAAACCTTGGTTCCTGTCTCAAGGCCCGTCACTGGGGGCTCCTTGTCATCGTGTAACGCTAACGACGGACGCCTCCCTCACGGGCTGGGGAGCGGTCATGAGGGGCCTCTCCACCCGAGGTCTGTGGGAAGGCCATCATCTCACGTGGCACATCAACTGCCTGGAGATGTTGGCCATGTTTCGAGCTCTAAAACACTTTCTTTAAAACCTAAGGGGACATCATGTGCTTGTCCGCACAGACAACACATCGGTGGTCTCGTACATCAACCGGCAGTGGGATCTGCGCTCGCGCCTCCTTTACAGATCCTCCTGTGGGCTCAGCGAAAGTTCCTCTCACTAAGAGCAGGCTACATCCCTGGGCATCTCAATCAGGGAGCAGACATCCTGTCGAGACAGGGGCTGAGGCCCGGGGAATGGAGGCTCCACCCAGAGGTGGTGGACCTCCTTTGGAGGGAGTTCGGCCAGGCGGAAGTGAACCTGACCTATTCGCGTCGCAAGAAACGACACACTCGCAGTGTCGTGCCTGGATTTCGCCCCGGGCATGGTTAGGGTGTTTCTTTACCCAAGACCCGGGTATGTCCCTAAGTTGCCCACCTCTTCGCCAGGTCCCATAATACTACAAGCCCTCTGTCCTTCCCCCTTCCAGGAAGCAGGCCATGAAAGACTCAATCTGCTCTGTCCAGTGCGAGCACTGGTCGCTTGTTCACAGAGCTTCCCAGTGGTGTAAGGCAGATCAGTTATTTGTTTGCTTCGGTCCACCTAAGAAAGGGATTCCAGCGACCAAGCAAACCATGAGTCGGTGGGTGGTTGAGACCATCACACTGGCTTACGAGTCCT